AAGACCGGGGAGACTCCCGAGCCCATGGAGGGAGCCCCAGAGCCAGAGGCAGGGGGCGGAATGGAGAAAAAAAAAAAAAATAATAAAAAAAAAAATTAAAAAACAAAACAAAACAAAAAAAAAAAACTTACTCACCGCAGGACGCGAGGAAGAGCAGGGACAGCCGGAGAAGCTCGTGCGTGGCTTGGACGACACTTTAAGTCACCTGCGGTTGGTGGGTGACGTCACTAAATCGCCAGCCGGCGGCGATAAAAGGGCCGGCGGCGGAGAGGAGCGAGGCGCGCACGTGGCTGCGGGGAGGGAGCCTGGCCGGTGGAGTCAGTTGCAGGCGTGGAATGCCGGAGCTGACTGGCAGCGCTCCCCGCGGAGAATTAAAGAAGCCCGGGGACGAGCCGACGCCCGAGAACAGCACAACAGCGGTGGGTGAGCCGGGAGAGAGAGCGGTAAGAGCCTCGGCGGCATGGAGGGGTCAGCGGTCCGAGGAGGACCCGGAGAGAAGGCTGCGGGCCAGGGAAGACCCGGAGAGAGGATCGCCCTGGAAGATACCTGGCAAGGCGCTCCCCGCGGAGAATTAAAGAAGCCCGGGGACGAGCCGACGCCCGAGAACAGCACAACAGCGGTGGGTGAGCCGGGAGAGAGAGCGGTAAGAGCCTCGGCGGCATGGAGGGGTCAGCGGTCCGAGGAGGACCCGGAGAGAAGGCTGCGGGCCAGGGAAGACCCGGAGAGAGGATCGCCCTGGAAGATACCTGGCAAGGAGGGGCGGGAGTCAGACATAGAAAGAGAGGGCTACTGAACCGAGCCACGAGCATGTGACCCGGTTGTTAAGCAGAGGAGCAGAGGGGCTACTGGCTCCACTAGGAAGCCTAATAGGGGCAGGGTTACGCCTCTCATTAGGCCCATAGAGTTTTAGTTGAGTTTAAAAGGTTCCTTTTGTGTTTCCCCGGGTTAGTAGGTGCGCGACAGCAGGGAGTAGGAACGAGGGGTGAGCTTGTTATTTGAGTATCTAGGGAATTATTCGAGCACCCACAGAAACAGCCAAGATCCGCCGGGCTGGGTAAGGGCGAGGTGCAGGGGAAGAGGAGCCTCGCAGAAGGCATCTACAACGTAGGTGCCTGACGAGGGTAACCGCGCTACACGAAGCCCCACCCACTGAAAGATCCAAGTCGTGGCAGGCGAGAAAGGGCAGACTGCAGCGCATGAAAAGACCTCCCAGAAGGCCACCTGCGACAGCAAGCTGAGTACCAGTGAGCACTCGGAGCAAGGAAGCCCGAGGCAAGATGTATGAGGCCCGGCGGCTACACCTACCTTCCTATGATCCTAAGTAATTGTACAGTATTTTTAATAGGACACTTGTGCAGATAATACATAACTTTAAGCAGGATCTACAAAGTTGTGTACCTAAATACTTCTAGATAAACACAGTTTGAAAAGTTAAGGACAAATTTTGAAAGTTAAGGACTAGTTAAGGTTTATATTTTCAAAGTTACTGGTATACTTTTCCTCAAACCTTTGGAAACCAAATTATTCTACTTGAAAATAGATAGTCATCTCTTTTGACCACAGTGAAGTGATTCATTTTCCCCTCCACCTTTTTAAGTACAGGACAACTCAGAGATTTATTTACTTGCCTCACCAAACAGTAGTCATTCAACCCTTCTGGGAAATCTGGCTACGTGCTTCAACTGCCTATTTACTAAGCCTGTGCGAAGTGGCAAGTATCTGCTTCGGATCCGCATGATTTGGAGGACGGTGATTCGATTCAGAGATTCAAATCACTGTCCTGATTCGATTCGGTTGAGTCAGATCCAAAAGATTTGGTGCTGCTTCGGAGATTCAGCCGTAGACTAAAACAGGCAGCTGACACAGCTGCCTCCAGCTGGTAAGTCTGTTGGGGTTGGGTGACGGGGGAGGGATTGGGGCTGTGGCTGGGACAAGCTGCCCAGCCAGGGCGGGGGGGACACGTTACTCAGGGAGGAGGCCAGGAGGGTGCAGGATGCGCAAGGGTGGGGGGCGCAATGCAGGCACGCCTCGCTCTGGGCAGAGTGGGGTAAGTGCCACCAGGGCATAGGCCCCGCTCTCAGCGCTGCCACGCCAGTGTCCCTCCCGCGCCAGCTGGAAAGCGGAAGCAGCGCAGAGTCCTCACTCTCAGTGCTGCAGACACGGCAGTGCTGTTAACGGGGGTTATGCCCTGCTGCTGCTTGTTCCCTTCTGCCCAGAGTGAGTTACGCCTGCATCACTCCCCCTTCCCTTCCCCCCACCCCACCCTGTGCCGGGTAGGGAAGCAGTAACAGGACAGAGCCCCACTCCCAGCACTGCTGTGTCCACATCAGCTCTGGGAGCAAGGACTCTGCACTACCACAGCTTGACAGCCAGTGCAGGGGGCAGGGGCCCACCAGGGGCAGGCACTGCCACAGCTTGCCAGCTGGTGCAGGGACAGGATGCAGGCGTGGCAGCACTGGGAGCAGGGGCTATGCCCTACTGCCGCTTGCCTCCTTTCGCCTGGAGCAAACCATGCCCACATCCTGCCCCCCCCACCCCAGCAAGCAGCAGTAGGGCAGAGCCCCCGCTCCAAGCACTGCCACACCCGCATCCTGTGCCCCCATTGCTGAATGCTGTGCCCCCCAGCCCAGCTAGGCAGCTTGTCTCAGCCCCAATCCCTCCCTCCCCCACGCCCCTTCCTTCCCCCTAGCCCAACCCCAACAGATTTACCAGCTGGAAGGAGCTGTGTCAGCTGCCTGTTTAGTCTATGGCTGAATTGCTGAATCTTTTCCGAAATAATTCGGAGCTTTTAATTGGTCTCCTGATTCAATCTGGATTCCAAGATTCAGTCGCTGAATCGGGCCGAATCTCCTCCAAATTGAATTGGCTACCGAAGCTTCACACAGCCCTACTACTTACCTTGATTTTATCACTCCAATCTACTTCTCAGTTAAAATAATGCTGATCACTTGTACTCTGGTGCTGTGTATTAAAAAACAGAAAAAAACAAAACAAGGACAGCACAAGAATTACAGAAGGACATTTTCATTTTAAACTCAACTCAATGTAAACTTGGGCAAGTTCACATGGCCCAAAGGAAAGTTTTTGGTTTAACTACAGAGGTCAATACTTTCCAAAACAAATCCTTCTTTCAGCTAGTCCTGTTTTTCAAAAGAATTAATCACCACCAGAAGGAAGGCTTTTCTATCAAACCCTGACTCATCCCGCTGATTTTTCCCCCAATCACTATACTACGAAGTCATCTACAACTGTGACCAGGCTAATTTAGCTGAAATTTCACATAAACGCCAATTTCCACTATATACCAGGATAAAAAAATAATTAAAAATTAACTACTGATGGCAGAGATGGTCAAAAAGCAGCACACATGCCACAAGCATGCCGTGGGTGGCACAGAAGTGGAAAGGGATCTTGGAGTCCTAGTGGACTCCAAGGTGAACATGAGTCGGCAGTGTGACGAAGCCATCAGAAAAGCCAATGGCACTTTATTGTGCATCAGCAGATGCATGACGAATAGATCCAAGGAGGTGATACTTCCCCTCTATCGGGCACTGGTCAGACCGCAGTTGGAGTACTGCGTGCAATTCTGGGCGCCGCACTTCAAGAGGGATGCGGATAACCTGGAGAGAGTCCAGAGAAGGGCCACTCGTATGGTTAAGGGCTTGCAGACCAAGCCCTATGAGGAGAGACTAGAGAACCTGGACCTTTTCAGCCTCCGCAAGAGAAGGTTGAGAGGCGACCTTGTGGCTGCCTATAAGATCATCACGGGGGCACAGAAGGGAATTGGGGAGGGTTTATTCACCAAGGCGCCCCCAGGGGTTACAAGAAATAATGGCCACAAGCTAGCAAAGGGCAGATTTAGACTAGACATTAGGAAGAACTTCTTCACAGTTAGAGTGGCCAAAGTCTGGAACAGGCTCCCAAGGGAGGTGGTGCTCTCCCCTACCCTGGGGGTCTTCAAGAGGAGGTTAGATAAGCATCTAGCTGGGGTCATCTAGACCCAGCTCTCTTTCCTGCCTATGCAGGGGGTCGGACTGGATGATCTATTGAGGTCCCTTCCGACCCTAACATCTATGAATCTATAAGCAGCAAGGACAACCTGTGTGGTATATGACAAGACTAGTGAGGGAGCAAAGTGGCAGGTAGGGCAGGGAACACAGGGAAAGAAGCAGAAAGTAGAACAACAGATCAGGCAGAGAACACAGGGCAGGGAGCAGAAAGCAGAATGGCAGGTGAAGCAGGGGAAGAGGATCACAGTGACAGTTGGAGAGGGTGCAAGGATTACTTTATGGCATACCTGAGAAAAAAGATTGGCCCCCACTGATTTATGGGTTTTGCATGGATATGCTGCAGCCTTATCGTCTAGGCATACTTCAAACAGCATTCGACATGTATTTTCCCCTCAGTAACCAGAACCAAAGTTAGCTAGTAAAATAAAATATCAAAGTTACATTAGTTAGTATAAGACTTTGACAAAGGATGCACTCCTAAAACTATCTACTTTTTGGGTACATGTAAGTAACCTCAGGAAGACCACTGAGATTGTGTTTTGTGACATACATGGTGCCAAACAGACTACTGAAGAGCCTATGCTAAACATGTTGAAGTTTCAGCTAATTGAGGTTTTCACTATTTAGGACTTGCAGCATCTTGAACGTAATTCAGTCATGAACTTGTAGTTACTACAAAATCTGGAGTACATCTGTAATATACTTTGGAAATTATCAGTACAGATGGCCATGGCAAGTCTCTGCTATGTAGGGGGTAAAGGCAAAATCTTGTGTCCAGCTTTAACTGTTAAAATATTAAGGCAATTTTCACAAAAATGCAACGAGACCGTAGGACTGATGGAGCACTTTTACTATATCTATAAAATACATGTTACTGCCAACTGATGATAGTACCTTAGCTTGATCAGATTCAACCATGCTAAAGCTTTTTTTTAATCAAGGTCCCTACCTGTAGCAGACTGGGGGATGGTCAATAACACCTTACCAATATTGTAGTCGATTAGAAGGTTTATTAGTATCACATGGTTGATACACAAAGGGATAAAATAAAGCATTACAACAGCAAATGTTGTTTCAAATGGTTATTTCCAGTTGCAGTCTCTGATGTACACACATCAAATAGCTTTGGGGTGAGGAAAGAAAAAAAAACAAATAGCTTTAAGTGCTGAACTTCAAAACTACATAAGGAGACCTAATGATTTACCCTGGTAAAAATTTAATGCATGTAATAGAGAATACTTTATATAAATTCAACAATTTGAATGGTAACAGGAAAAAAAGAGTGCCAAATAGGGGAAGATTTATTACTATTCTCCAATCAACTCAACATTAAAAGAAAATCAAAATAGTTAAGTGCAGCAGGGTCTACCAGTTTTTGTTCCAGTGTAAATTCAAAGGATTATGAAATACTATGTATGCAGTAAGTCACCTACAAAGCAAAGCAAGTATATCAGTCTGAATCCAATTTTGCAAGACAAACTCTGTAAGGCCAACACTATATATAAAAATAAATATCTTCTGTGGCTTTAGGAAATGCTTGAAAAATAATCCAAGAATAAATGTTTTCATTATAGCCAACTTCTTTCTCCTTTGAGTTTTACCCTTTTTCAAATCAAAGATCACATTCAAGAAAAATCTTAAGTAGTCTATCGTAAATACATCTGAGGAACAGAGTTGGTTCCTTTTGTTTCTCTTTTGAAAGTATATACTAAATTAAATCGGTAGCATCCCTGCAACCTCCAGGAAACAGCATGGTTTCACTGTCATAACTGGAGATTTAATTTAATCTGCAGAATCCCTACCACTGTTGGAAGACACAATTCAGGTTTCTCAGGACTTTCCTAGGGCTTGGGTAAGATTGGAGCCTCTCCTGGCTCCGCCCCCAGCTTCCCACACTGCCGGGTGCGGCGGCTGATCCCCTCCGTGTGAGGGCTCTCTCCTGAAGCCTCCACTTGTCAACCGCCCTGCCGCATCGTTGGGGCCGCTTTTTAATCTTTCCCAGGCAGTATCTCCCGCCCACGCTGCTCGGCTACAGCTGGATATACACGCAGCTAATCACCCTCACCGGTGGTTTCGCCGCGCGCCTCTCCTCCGGCTCTCCAGGCTCTGCAAGAGGTAAGCGGGGCTCTCTTTTGGCCTGGGGTCCTCCTGCCACCCCAGCTCCCCTGGGACAAGGTGTATTGTCTGTTCTGTATAAATCCGGCCTAATTTCAAATGTGTTTTGTCCAACATGCTAAACCATGATGAACTCCAAAAATCATATCCAAAAGGGGAAAGACTCCATGCATCAGCATCGTCATCAGTGAAAGGGATTCTGCCTATTCAGTTAGGTCACCCAGTTACGATAGTACAACCAAACTGCTTCCTGGACAGTTGCGGGGATGCTACTGATTTAAACTTAGTATATCCTCTCATAATAGAAACAAAGGAAGCCAACTCTTCTTCACAGTAGCATTGGCCTTATTGTGATAACATGAATAAAAAGCAGCAAAAAACTTATATTTGTTCCTAAAATTTGCAGATAATCACATTTCATACCACCAGGAGGTCTGATAAGAAAGCACCATTTTTACACAGACTCATGTAGAATATGTTTTAAGAGGAACTTAACATAACATAAGGAACCATTTCCATACTTTAAAAAAGTTTACTAGTTTTGTGGTGATATTTCAGGAAGACTCGATCCTCTACATGATGGTCCAGTATACATGTTAATTTGTGAAGTCACATCCACTACTAAAGAGACAGACAGAAACCGTTTCAATTCTTACCTGTCCCTTTCCAGGTTTCTAATATTTTTGGAAGGAGTCTCAATATTTCTATAGTGCAGTATAGTTTACAATATTAAAATTTCATCTGCATTATTTGAGTGGGGAGAAGATGTAGAGGGAGAATAGAAGTAAGACTTTATCATAGGTTTCAGTGCTTTTCAAGGAGTATGTTATCAGCAAAATGCAGAAAAGCTGACTGGGGTGGGGGACACAAAATGTAAATTATTTAGAATGTGCTAAACTGTCCCTGTTATTCAGAACATTGAGCACATTATAATATATTTGCAGATCACCTACGAAATAATACTTTTCTTAAACACATCTCTAATGATCAAGCTTATGCTAATATTACAGATCTAACTAAGACTTAGTACAAGGAAATGAGATGAGTATTACCATTAATATACTATATTATATCCCATAAAACAACTGCTGAGAAAGGTGTAGGAATTATGAATAAAGGTGAGAAGCTAACCATTGACTCTGAGCCATGTAAAAAGTAATCCATTAAACAGAGTACATGAAGCCTCTTCTCTAAAAATTAAAATGTGGAATGTCATTTTATTTGAAATGCACAGGGTGCAAAGTGCTTTGCAGTTGTCAAACGGCATGCTATTTTTTAATTATCATAACTGATTGGTAAGTGACATTTTACTTTTAAAAAATACTATTACAAAGCATTTAATCAAATCCTGACATTTTGGTTTCCACTATTATTACTACTTGCTGCAATGCATATAATTTAATCTTAATATGGAACGCAAGTTCTCAAAATCAATTTAACATTGTTGTTCTTAGCAAGTCAGTCACTAGATTATTGAGCAACTGAATCACTAGGATGCTTTTTACTGCCAGCCTCTCTTCCAGGAGCATTGTTCATGTTACGAAAACATTTTAAAGTACATAAAAGATTTTGCTTGTAGAGAGATTTCTCTGTAGATATTCCATTAATATTTCAATTACAAGATCTGCATGATTTGTACTCACTTAGCCTTTGGATCACAATGTTTCTTGAAGGCTCTGCTATAACCTGAATGCCTACGCTGAAAGCTTTATTCTAGAAACCCGTTATACAGAATGCAATAAGCTAACATTTCAAATACATAAACTCTATGTACTTCATTTGGGGATTATTCTCCAAGTTATTACACATATTCAAAACACCTAGTTTGTTTCCCCAGGCAGAGGGTTTATTCTAAAAAGACAAAAAAAAGTAAATGAGCAATCTAGAATCAGGATTTATACAAGTAATGCTTGTGTGCAAATAAATAAAAATATATAGTCTTCAATTTTTTAATTATAAATATTTTAGTACATTTCAAAATATGTTAAAACTTCTATACACATATTGTTTCTAGAAAAGACCACCTGTGATACATGGCCTCTTAGAAGCATATGAAGCAAAATAAAAAAAAAAACAGCAACTAACAACTACTATTGTACACAGTTCATGTTAAACCACCAATATTAGCAAATTAAAAACAACAAAAGCATAAAGATTGGCAAAGGAAAAAACAAAGGTTGTAAGAGAGCAAGTTCGCTAAAATTTCTACATCCTTCACAGTAATACAACATACTCTGGAGTAAGCCCATAAAGCTGATTGCACTGAAAAGTGTAATCTGATCTTCTGAGGTTGTCATGAATTGCAATGCTGGCAGAATCAAGTTTTCAGGTCACAAAACTTGAGTAATGAGCAGTTCCTGTTGGCAAAAAAAATGGTGTCTGAGGGAAGAGAGGCTGAAAAGACCATGTAGCTGGAATATAACAATTTGATTCAATACAGGCAGGTTCCAGGGGAATAAAACCTGTTCTAGTATTAACATCTGTATCTTACAAGAACCTCTCAGCTTCCAGTAAGAAGCAATTAAACAAGTGCAAATTGATGTGCAAGTTGACACAAAATTGAAACAAGGGACCTGAATATATAATTTTCCATTTTCAGGCATTCATATTTGCCTTACTGGATGATACATGTCCTGGATCCCAAAGGAATTCACCTCCAATAGATTCTCTTGTAGAAGTTATGCCAAGTAGCTTTTATGGAAAAAAAAAAATCAGTTCAACACAAATTGCTGCCTTTGAGTCTAATCCTTTTCCAGAAACTGAACAAGTTCTAACAGTCCAGGAACCTGCAGCATAAAGTGAGGTAAAGTAAAGTACTTAGAGGGCTGCAGGTTCAATAGTTGTTCCATCATTTACAATATTCTTTCCAAAAGGAAAAATTCAAAGGACTTCTGTTAAGTCTATAATATTTCCAAATCCACGTGACGAACATCAGGATTACGTTGCTGAAAGAAGAAAAAAAAGAGAGGAACCCAGTTTATTAATTAGTGCATACAATCACCTGTACAACATGGACAGAAATATCTAGACATGGTAGTATAGCAACAGTTTTTAAAAAATTTAAATTTGCATTTAATCAATATTTTAGGCAGTTCACAATGCCAAGTCATCTTTGTCCCTCAAGAACCATTTTTCAACATCTGAACAAAATTAGTCTGAATGCTTTAAAAAAGTATGAAGGGACTCTCAGTTTAAGCCCCCCTCCCAAAAAAAACAGGAATCATAGGCAAGGAAAATGTTCAAAGAGAACTTAAATATACAAGCAGCACTTTTACAAATACCAGAGGTGCCTGGTACCAACTGGATTATATGCTACTAAAATGAATTAAAACTTCTAACAAGGAAATACACATCTTCAGATTTTGTGAAAATACAATAAAGGATATTATGCAGATTCCACGAGCCATATATGGTTTAAAGTGACTTGTTTCAAAGTCATCTGCATATGAATTTAACTAGTGTCTTCAGTAATAAAGCAATCATTAAAATGCAAACACACCCCTAAAATAGAATTCATTTTTTGAAAATAATTATTCTTGAGCCTGTTGCTCAAAAACCATGAAGAGCTGAATCTGCAGGTCATACTCAAAAGAGTAATTTTCAACTGCACAACTTCAGGGAGATAGAACTAAACTACTTAGAATGTTTCTCAAAAATCTTACACGTGCTAGGCAAGGATATGCTCTTGAACAGCCCTTCTGATCAAGAGAAAAAAGCAGGCACAAAAGCACAAGTGCATACTTATGCTGATGGCTCAAAGATCTCTTTGGAAAAAATACTGTTGCCAGCAAAAAGTATTACCCAAATGTCTTGCATCTCCAGAAAGAAGAAAATGCTTAACCATATTCTCCTTTCCTTCCTAGATCCTATAACTTAACACCACTAGGGGCCAGTCATGCACTGTAGTCCAACTCTCCATTGCAACCAAGTATATATGCCTGGATGTTTTTGCCACCATTCTGCTATGTTATCTAGCCACTTTTTGCCACCTTCTACCAAGCCAAAAACCATGGTCTTTAGCAGGCAGTCATTCTTCATCCAGCACAGACATTTAAAGCAGCTGAAACTTCCTCTACACTGCTGCAGCAACAGCAGTCTTTCACACCAAATGTTTTTTTCTGATTATTTTGTTTCAGATACGGATTCACCAGTTCACCACAAGCAGCTATCTACATTTCAATAGGCCAGGAATCTGAGTTCATCCATTTGAAGTACCATGTCTCCACCGCATAGAGCACAACTGTATATTAAGCACTGAATTTTAGGATTATGAGGAGATTCTTCTCTCTCTGTATCAGCTTCAGGTCGCCTAATGCCACTTGCATCTGTCACAGCCTCTTCAATTTCCTTGGAGAAATCCACTTCCCATGTAAAGAAGCTCCCCAGGTAGATAGACCTGTCTATGTTGTTGTCCATCTTACTGTCACCCACTTCAATGTATGCATTGTTCTCTCTATTCACACTGACAGGCAGCCAGAATCATTCAGCAGCCTACAAAAGGCATCTATTTGGCTCTGAAAGCCCATATTCTCAGTACCCAGCAGATCAAGGTTGCCAGGAAAATTCAGGTTGTTCACCTTCTTTGCTGTCACCTTTACCAGAGGGCTTTGGCTATCATGACTATCCATCAGTATCTCAATACAGATCAGGACTTAACAGGAGATATCAGGTCGCTGTACCTGCTGCTGATTATCATAAAGTCAGTCACTTAGCTGACTTGACTAGGATTGCTAACTTCACCTGTCTAAAAGTTTTAGGAAGGCTAGCAGCCGCTTGCCCATACTATATATCCTCAAAACATCCCATGCAGTATTATGCAATACCAGGTCATGTGTCTTTTTGAAACAGTTGAGGACCTTCATAACAAACGTCTGATTTCTCTAAAAATCAGTGGATTTCTTGCACCACCCTTTTATTTTTATAGAAATCAGCTGATGCTCTCATGGGCAATTCTCTCTCTGTACTTTGCGTTGTTCAAAGAGCACCACAAGGGGAATTCTACTCTAATGGCAAGGAAAGAAATCATCCTGAATTTCATTCAGTTTTGAAAGTCACCTTTGTTGACCCTGGTTATGTTATCCACTCTTCTTCGCTCTTCAGAATCTTTTCCTTTGTACCCCAAAACTGTTGCATAGAACATAAAATAACTTCCAGTTACAGTCAGGTCTGCTGGTATGTTATAAATTTTGATGTCTGGGCAGATTTTTTTTTTGGGGGGGGGGGGGGGGGGAAGAGAGAGAACGAACGAACAGGACAGGAGACATTTTGCAATAGTCAGCCACCAAGGACACATAAGTAATGCAAATGCTGTTATTAAAAGTTTCTCTGGCAGGTTTTCCTGAATTTTATATATAATCATGTTTTCCTTGTGTATAGTTCATGAACACCAGTATTAGCTATTTGTATATATTATTCCTCCTATTGGTCAGCCTTAAGGGAGCATGAACCAGGCGCACCCTTTATCTTTTCAACACAGAATAGACAAATTGGTTCTGCCAGGCCCCACTTCTCTCAATTTTTGGTCTGACAGACCATAAAACAAGAAAGCCACAGGCAAAAATATAAATAATTATTAAGTCTGCTACATCCCTGAGCATTAAAATCCAAATCCATATGTATTTCTATTAATTCCCAACCTCTACTTACTAAGAATTATATATTGGATTTTGTTTTGTCTGTGCACATTATACATACATCCATACACGTGTTATAACAATTCATATACTAACATACAAGCTATATACCAGAGCGGGACTTAAATCCCACACAGGAGTGACAACACCAACTGTTATCTCTGCCTAGCTCATTAACCTCACTCTAGAATTCACAAAAATCACAAAGATCAGCAGAAATATTTACCTGAAAGACCCCTATAATAAGACTATGCAGAACCAAATATTTCTGCTTTACATCATCTGTTATATATACTATACCAAATGAAAATGAAAGCATGCCAACATGCCTACCCCACAATGTCACAAGTAAAGAGTTTAATAACCACATAACCTTCCTTCACTGTTCCAATTCAAAATATTTAAATCCCGACATGAACAACAACATTCTTGTTTGGCAACTACAAGGGAGCTAAGAAATATTAAAGTAATAGTGGAAATTAACGTTCTATTGTTTGCCAAGAGCATAAGTCTAATAATTAGAGCTCTCATATACAGCCAATTAGTTTTGACACAACAATAAGTGCAGGATTAAAAACCATATAAAAACTTCCCTTTCATTATAACCAAAGTAGAATTATAAATTACTTGACACTGAGACCACTGTGCAAACTTTTAGTGACTGCAAACAGGTAATATTTCATAAAAAATAACTATTAAATAGTAATAATCTTGAAGCAGCAAGCAGTATGAAGAGATAAAACTAAAGAAATCTAAACATGTCAAATAGATGAAAAAGAAGATAAATCTCTGCTCTTCCAAGTCTGATTTGTTTAATGAAACTTTTTTAAAAGTGCCTTTGATTTTATTAAAAAGCCTATTACACAGGGAAGAGCAGGCAGACTGAACATTTCTGCACAACAGTTCCTAAAAAAAGGAAGGCCCACCAGTTGAATCTTACCTTTAGCTCCTTCTCAAGCCGATCTACTTCCGCGCCCAGGGTGTCAATAATATTCTCTCCATGCTTCAGCATAAAAGCTTCTAGTTCCTCAAGTGTCTTCACCTGCTGAATTTCCTAACAAAAAATGAAAGTTGAGAGAATGGAGGAAAAGTTAAAAAAAAAGAAACACTTAATTTACATGACTAAATCTGAACATATTTCCATGTTTCCTAATTGACAGTGTTTTGTCAAGGAAAAGTAGACTCATTTTGTATCACAACCACATGTAGTCTGACTTTTCAAGGCGTGAGGATGAGCAAAATGGATAAATTTAAAATAAACAAAGAACATTTTGGCCACAGCAAATCTACACCATGTACAATTCTTCCCTTTTACTTCTCAATGATTTTTCCTTTATTCCTCAAACAAGGCTTACAAGTTCCAGTTTATTTTGCCAAAATCCACGTCTACAATGAGTTAGCAAATAATTAATAAATAGTAAGTCTCAAAGCAAAGCACTTGCTCCCATCCTTCCCTTTTCTGACCCTGTATCTTTTTGCCACTCTACCCACCCCTCCTGCATGCTGTGGACAACATACACTGCAAAGTAAATGTATTTACTTATATACAAAAGTATATACAATTCACAAAATTAACTGAAACGTACAGGACACTCCCCCTCCACCAAAAAAAAAAAACCAACGAAGAGAACATAGAGCAAGTGAACTCAGACTGCAGGAAGCCAGTGGTACACCCAATCTAAAAAACAAGATTAAACTGAGCAGGGTGGAATGCTTTTTGAGTACAAGGCAGATATCTACTATCAATTTTTCACCAAAGTCCAAGCAAACTGACTGAATATGGACTATGTTATATAGTGCAGCACTAACATGAGTTTTCCTTACATTCAAGTATAACAATATCTGTAGCTCTCTCTCAGTCACAGGCAATGTGGCTACAGTATATTTAAGATCAATATGACATCTCTATTATTTGGATTCAAAGTTACCCTGATAAACTGGAAAAATAGTTAGAAACTTAATGAATGACATTTGATAAAGATAAGTGCAAAGTCTTGCACTTAGGAAAGAACGCTCACATGCAAAAAAATACAAACTGAAAAATGACTTCCTAGGCTGCAGTACTACAAAAGAGGACCTGAGGTTTATTAACTGAATATAAGCAAACAGTATATTCTTGTTGCAAGAAAGGCCAATAGCATACTGGGTTTATTAAAAGGACTGTCATTTCAGGTGAAGGGAAGTGATTCTTCCTCTGTATATATGTAGCACTGAGGCCTTACTTGAACTACTGCATCCAGGTTTGGGCACCATGCTTAAAGAAAGACATGGGCAAGTTAAAAATAACTCCAATGGCAAGCAACAAAAATGATTAAAGGTCTGAGAACTATGATTTATGACGAAAGATTGGAATAACTGTGATTATTTAATATGGAGAAGAGAAGACAAAGGATACTTTTGATAGATGTTCAAATACTGGAAGCATAGTTATAAAGAGAATGGCAAGAGGCTATTCTAGTCCTGTCCCCCATAGCCAGGGAGGAGTAACCATTTGGATTTGTCAAATCTGCCAATTTCCAAATAAAAAAAAAAACTTTAATCTAAAAATTCCTGGCTTGCTCAACTGCCACACACAAAGTACATACATACTACACTCCTGCCCAGAGATGGTTTTCTTTCAGTAGTGGTTGGTCTGATCTTAGGTGTATACTTTACCTGTTTAGTATGTAAATCCCTCTGGAATTCTTCAAAAGTGCAAAATAATATAACCTATCTACTTGCAAATTTGGCTTTCAACATATTTGACAATGGGAAGCTCTTAACATATTTGACAAGGACCCCACCCCTGTGCTGGAAACAACATAACTTTATTAAAACATACTTGTAGCAGCTGTTCAATGTCTTGTTTTTCCAGGTAAGAACTAGTAACAACCCGTCCATCAAAGTCTACTTCTGCCTTGAATCTCACTTTGCTCATTCCCATGTCTGTGGCTTTAACATCATGAATTCCTCTGAAATACATAATTTTTTTTGGGGTGGGGGGGGGGAAAAAACATGGAACGATGTAAAACAGTTCTACTGTTTTGAATTCTTTGGTTCACAACATTGTCACAGTACAGATTTTGCAAGTACAAAAAAGGAAACTCTGCTTTTTACCCCCTTTAAAAAGTCACAAATATCTTCAGAACTAACGTTCACTTCTTCAATCCCTTTTCCCAATTATGCTTTAAGCTATTTAAAATGGACCAAATTTCACAAATAAGACTGCTGACCTGGCAGCGCGGATCACGTCATTTGCAAGGGAAAACAGAATAGCTGAGTATTTGCAGGAATATGGCAGATCAGTATTAAGATCTGACTTGCTGACAAATTTATTATTTTGGCTTGAAAAAAAAGGTTGCTCTCTGTAAATACTATTATCTGTTAAGATGAAAGGAGTTGATTGCCTCTCTAAGCTATCCTCAAATTTCAAGTCTGAGTTATTTGTTATAGCAAGCAAAGGCTGTGCTTGCTTCTACCCTAATCACAGTGAATCACTAACTAGTTCCTTTAGAGAAAATAAGAACCTCAAATGTTCAAGTATTTTAAAATCATGACAAAATACCCTAACATACATCTGCTGGTAGGGATCTGTTACAAACTGCATCTCTAGTAAGTAACTTCCTTTTCATTGACAACAACCATTTGAAACATCTTCAATGGCTGAAACATCTTCAACATGGAGACTTAGGACTTGATTCTCTAATGTGCCAAGCTGATTCGCTGCCAGGGAAGGGATCCCTGCATATAGGGGATCAACAACAGGATCCCCAAATTATCCCACCCTCAGCATAGTTGCTGTATATACAAAAGATGACTATGATCATGGAAAACGACATGTCATCTGAAACTGTTATTGGAGAGCACTGTACTCACCACCTAGACAGCCTACATGCTGAATCTGGATGGGAGTTAGTATAAGACTACGTTCCAGAGACTTTACAGCAGTTGAGATTTCCAAACTGGATGGGTTTAGTCATTATAAATGCACCAAAACTGGAGTTGAGACTGTCTAAAATTCCAAGGATGTGTGGATCCAAATATTTAAAAGATGTCATTGGATGGTATGCACGACCAAACTTAAAAACATAGACCACCTTCCCAGCAACACACTCCTAGCCACCATGGACGTT